TAAAAGGAAATAAAATATTACAGTTTAAGTACTTTCTTAGTACCATCTAGCGGCGAATACATGTAACTAATAGAGAAACTTACAGTAACCTACAATTCAAGTTGAAAATGCTATGATTTTACTTTGATTTTATTATCACTAATTATTATATTATTTTTGTAATAAAATCGTGAGAAGACATGTCGTGAGATCATGAGATTAAAGGTAATATCATGAGATCTCACGATAAATCGTGAGACCTGGCAACCTTGCTCTCGAGCTAAGCCGTGCATCTTATGAAAAAGTGTTTGACGTTTCGGATGCCATGTTGCACCCTTCTTCAAATAATCAAAAAACAAATAATCAATCATAAAACAATATTTCTTTCTCTAAAACAAGATCTCGCTGAGCAGAATCTCACGAAGATGGAATACCTTGAAAATGGTGAAGATTTGTTACCACCGGAAGACATAGATGGTGCAAATGAATAACACGAGAGTAAAAATGCTGGCCAAGAGTTACAAAATACAAACCAGAGTGTTAAAAATAATGAGGCAGTAAAAAATTTTAATGTATGCCACTGCATGATGTCCTTGTACTTCAAAGATTAAAAGAAACGGCTTTTATAATGACCCAGAAAAGGATCAAGCAAACAAAGATTATATCTTATTTCACAAAATAATATAAAAATTTATAAAACATACTTCTGTTGTAAATAATCTTTATGGAAATACTATTTTTAGTTGTCTTGCATTAAATGTGTCGCTTATATAGAAATTTGTTTCGCTTCAGTAATCCAACTTATTTAGTTATCGGATCACCTCGGTTTTAATTAGTCCGGACTATCGAGTTCTAATCACCAGTCTGGGCACTGCCCACTCTTTCACCTTTTCGTGACTTAGAAAATCTACAGCTGAAACAGCAAAAACACATTTTGAAAGTTCAATATTTAAGTTGTAAGAAAAAAATACTTAGCCTTTTAAGATATTTTAATTTTTGCACTTTTTGAAATATTTCTGTCGAAATATTTATTTATTTATAAAAGAACAGTCACGATTTGTCTGAAGCGATGCAGAAAGCGATCGTAGAAGACCGTCGTGAGAAGATGGCATAGACGCAGCTAGCAGCGCAGTTTTCTATCACCCAGTCTGCTGCATCCAGAGTTCTTAAGTATTAGCGAACTCAGAAAGGCTTTGTGACATTGGACGTGAATTGTAGCATGCAGCGCCAGCCATCTCTCACGATGATCAAAAGAAAGCTGAATACTGCTGGACTCGTTGGGCGACGACTATTCAAAAAACCATTCGCGTCAGCCAAGAATAGGAAGGCACGCGTGGCGTGGGCGATGGCTCACCTCAAGTAGACCCGACAGCAGTGGGAACAGATCATTTGGTGTGACAAGAGCAAGTTCCTGATGTTTGGAATTGAGGGCATATCGTGGATACGCCGTCCCTCTGACACCCGCTTTGATCCCAAGGATCAATTTCCCACCATGAAGCACAGCGGTAGAAGTGTCATGGTGTAGGGGTGCTTCAGCGCTATCGGAACGGCTCGTTCGCATTCCGAGCATAATGGACCGCCACGTATACAGGGGAATTGTAGAGAATGATATGCTTCCCGTAATAATGAAATAACTTAGGGCGCCATAAACTGGTGGCCAAGAGTTAGAAGTAAAACGATTGTTTTGTAACTACAAAAATTGCAACGTCTGACTTGTCTCTACGTTACGGGCTCGATGATAACCACACCAACAGCAGTAATGGAGAATGTACTGTACCTTCCTCGTCTCAATTATCACGTAGAGGAGGTGGTGGTAGCAACAATGATCCGGCTGCGAGCAGTTAACGATAAATGGCTTTATAAATGTAGAAAATTGACTGGCCAGCTATGGGAGGAGGCATGTAGCAAACAGCCGCTCCTGAATGGCAGGGTAGATACGATTCCAACGCGTTTTATCTTCAAACGACCGTATGAAATAAAGGTATGGGAACAATCCATGCCTGACGAAACTATCCTCCAATTATGGGTGGACAGATCTCGTAGGGAAACTGGCTCTGGTGCTTCGGTTTATTCCGTCGAACCAACAATAAAATTCATGACATGGTGGACAAACGGGCAAGGAAAGGTGCAGGCGAACCTCAGGGATCGCCCGAACCATTCATTGTCCCAACAATAAGGTCTTTAATAGAGTTTCAAAAAGAGAAAACACGTAAGAAGTTTCTAAACTACTGGGACTGGACACCAGTATTTCGCCAAGCCAAGGAGGCTCTGATGTACCCTGACCCTAAACGAACAAATTTATTTATGAGTCTAATCACTGGACACTGGCATCTACAGAAGCACTTACTGAACATGAGAATAAGTGACACCGACATCAGCAGAGGACGCGGTGAGGAGGAGGAATCGGCGGAACATATTCTATGCGACTGCGTGGCCCTCCCAACATTAAGGTTATCCATTTTTGGAGATATCCATATTCGCATAAGTGGAATCAGGGCAGCAAAACCAGGACAAATTCCAGCATTTGTCTCCAAGGTAATATGGCTGGAAGGACCCTAATGCTGACCAAAAGAGGGAAGTAAGTACAAGGGGTCTGCTTAGGTTAAAGTGCTGCGGGCAGTTCAGTCTGTCTTCCCGCGAATCCAGAAATGCTTCCCTGGTTACGCAAACACATGGGTCGGGGTTGGATGTTCCAACAAGACAATGACCCGAAACATGCCTCCAGGAACGTCGCCGACTAGTTCGTATAGCGTGGAGTGACTGTAATGCACTGGCCTGCCAATCCCCGGAAATCAACGTCATCAAAACGCTCTGGGACGCAAGCTGAAGGGCGTTCGAGTTACATCCACCGATGAAAAGTTCCGGCAGCTGCAGGCGGAGTGGGCGCAGATCGACCACAGACTCTTTGATCGATTCCATGCCACGAAGATGCAAGACTGTCATCGACAGCAAGGGATATCCCGCTAACTATTAAGTGGTTCACATAAAATTGTTACTAAGTACTCCAGAGTTCAGAGCTTTTAGAAATATCTTGTGTCTTCACGATTGTTGGGTTTGTCATCTTGCGTTATTTTGATAAATTATTTTGTTTATAAAAACAGGTGTTTGATGTTCAAAACATGTTTGAAACATGGGAAACACTTCCCGAACTACTGTGTGAAAATTTTAGATCAAAATTTGAGTAGGAAAAAAGTTACAGACATAAAACCAATATATGATACGTTTTTGAGCTGTACAGGCGATCTTATGAATGTGCATAACGGCAGTACTCCTCAGAGTGGGGGGGATTCCGATCGATATTCTTAAATATAGGCAACTTATATACAAGAATTTTTTTTCAAATAAAATGATTTAAATAAAAATAGAAGTGAATGGATTTGCTGGACGGAGACACTGGGGTGCCATCTACTGGTTAGTGGCTAAACTATAACGTATAAATATAAAGGAAATTACAATTAATATGTGTTATCGCCTATGTACTAAATGTGTTATTAGTAGGTTAGTGGCTATTTCTAGGAATAACCCTATTATTTTTATAGCTTTCTATAAAAAGTAATTACTTTCTTATTTGCGATAATAAGAAGTGGGGAATTTACTAACACTTTTAAATATGAAATAGTATGCACTCAATGCGAAATTAACACTACCCCTAATACACCATCTAAAAGTTATTTAAGAAAATTATCGAAATATTAATATACATAAATTAGGTTAGGATTAGATTAGGTTTGCTTGAATTTATGAATTTGTTACAAAAAAATTATTGGTCGAATTTGAGACATGGAAATTTATAATTACGTCTGGCAAGGACTAAAAAAAAAGTAATCGCATACAATTTGGCACACTACCTATGATATATCCTGTATAGCACAAAGTATTTGCAATAAGAAAGGCACCGTGCCAGATGACGTTATAATCGTTCTATTCGTATTCCTTCTCTTTCTAATGGAAAATCGGTCATCTGTTGTATTCTACAATTCTGTGACATAACTTACTCCAATAAATAAAAGTAACAGACCTCAAAGTGCTCTTCATTTCACGATAATTCTCGGAATTTTATATTTTTGTTAGAACGTGATTGATATCAAACTTTATTAAGAAAGAGTCATTCACCTCTTGAATTGCTGTGACAACATTATAACTAAAACAATGTTGTAACCAATATGATTGATCAAAAAACAATAATAAATATGGTTAAAACCAAAACTATTTTTTTATCAATCTGTCATTGATATATCATAGAAGAAAGCATTCGAAAATTCAATACGAGTTTATAAATAGTATTGTGTTTGCGAATGGTATTCATCACACAATTTCTGATCACCATGCCACCATACTCATCACAAATTAAGTCGTGAAAGCGAAAAAACAACAATTAAGTTATGTTGCCATAGACAAGGTGGTATGGTGGGTAGCCTATGCAAAAGGTGTTTGATTATATTATGTTGTAGAAATAACTCATTACAAGAAAAAAAGCAATTACTAGTAAAGAAAAAAAATCAAGTCATACTAAAGTTAATTAATTAAATCAAATTAATTTTGAAATTATTAAAAATTATTGTTTAAAATTATACGAAATTAATTTTTAATATCATTTGGAGGAATTAAAAAACATGTTAGATTCGTAATTTTAACTCGTTATCAGATTGAACAATGTCAAATAGAAATACGCATGCGTAGAAAGGGTAATGAGCATGCGCTTATTGCTCATAATCATTTTATCAAAAAGAAAATTAAAAATAAATATCCAATTAAAAAAATTTGAAACGGCTGGGCAATGATAGTGATGCAAGATACCTAATTATAGTATTATGGAAGGTAATCATGCCAAGCCTGTAATTACAAGAGACCAGGCATGTAGTCAAGCTGTTGCCAGCCTGCATGTTCAGTCCTCTACCCGTCGACCATCGACCAGAGAACTCCTATCCTATCCGCTACCGCCCTCCCTTCTCTCCTCTTGTACACGTGACGACCTCGTAGCGTTCCCATTGGCGAAGAAAATCCGACCATTTTGTTTTGTTGAAATTTCGCTTGTACAGTCACTTCGACGAGACGATAATGTTCGCATCGGTCTGTTCGTTGTAATTTAATGTTTTTTAATTGTATTAATTCGCGGGTAATTCAAAATTAATTTGCACGGACGTGTGACGTAACGTTTTGTTTACGATGTCGGATATTCATCAGCTGTGTCGTTTGTGTTTGAGCAATGAGAACTTGGTTGACGTTTTTGACGAACAACTTACGAACGCTTACAAGTTAAGGCTTTGCGTCGTTCTTTGCACCGGCATTGAGGTAAGGTTATGTTTAAATTTTAATCGCGCATACTCTTTCTCGGACGAATTGTGTTTTGCTTTTTTCAATGCGATACTATTACTACACGTGCTACGTAACGGAACGGCGACGTTATTATTTTTTTTAGGGATGGAGAGGGAAGAAACAGTTGACATTCGTTTTTATAGGACGGTAGCGCACTTGTTTTCCACGGATAACTTAAATGAATTTTAATGAATCAGCTGATTTCGTTACACGAATTTCTTCGTTGAATAATTTTAATGTTTTTGTTTAAAAATATTAACCGTAATAATTTTGCTAATAATAAAAGTTGTTTATAAATAAATTTGTAAATAATAAATTTATTTATTAATAACACCTATTATATAAACAATCATAAAAATTTTGTCTATTAAAAAATGCCCTTTTTAATATTAGAAAACTAGAATCAATATAATTGCAATGTTAAACAATTTAGGTGTCTACAAAGCAAAATGTGGATTTTAGAAATTAGTTATGTTAAAAATAAAGTAGCACAACATTTATTATTTTGTTAAAATAACACGTGGGTCCATATAGGTTTGATCGCGTTTGATAAATCTGTTAAGATGATTGAGCTCTTAATCTACATAGCAACCTAGTTTATCAGCGGTTCCCAAAATGTTGTTCCTAACTTGTGGAGACTTTGACATTTAATTTTGATTATTTTCTTATAATCACTTGCTCAATTTAGCCACATTCTTTGTTCGGTATTGCAAAAAGTTTAACAATAAAGTGTTGTGTCATGCTTTCTGGAATCAATTGAAGGAAGAATGATATATTTGGCAACACTGTCATTGTATATTAAAGTTGTAATAGATGGTTATTTATTGTCAAAATACATAGAGTATACAGGTGGTCCATTACTAATGGATCACAAAACAGTGAATTCCTTACATTAAATTATTACGATTTAACCCAATTTATGTTAGTCCAATTGTTAATAATAACAGATACAGGTTAAAATTACATTATGAACATGAAAATTGGTACATTATCATTTTTTAAGACGATAAATAATAATACCAATAGTTATGCCTTCAAAAACTCTCTTAAAGTAGTCATATCTTTTTCATCGTTAAAATTTTTACAACTCACACAACTTGAAACAGTTGTCTTCTCTAAAGTTCTCCGTTTCCAAGATAATTACTGTTTAAGGGCACTTTGCAAAATTTAACTATGCTGGACCAACAATCCATCTATTTGGGAAATGTTAGATAATTATTAATTCATAATTACAAGACGATTAAGTACATAATAGTTATTTTTATTACAAGTGGGCTAGAAATATAATAACAGTACGAGTGTGGAGAATTGCACGACGAGGTCGTAGACCGAGTCGTGTAATCACACGAGTACTGTAATTATGCTCTAGCCCACGTGTGATATACAGCATTTTATCTACGACTGCTAAAAATTACTAAAAAATCAATTTCTTTAGAAAAGTCTATTTGACATTTAGAAAAATATTTGATGATGACAAAAATGATTGTTGACAATTGAATTGTCAGTTTCAACAACATGTTTACTCATCTGGAATAAGTGTTTTGAAATGTAAAAACATAACAATTAATGTTTATAATAAATAGTATTGTTTCTCTGTAAGTAGATAGCACTTTTGCTTTTGTATTGTTGCTCGTTTCAATAAATTAAGTCTGTTCTGATTAGGCTAAAAATGCGTTACGTAATGAAACCAGTGCGGTAATGAACTTCATTACGTAACTCAAATCACCTCAAATGAGTGCGGTAATGATGACTTATCCAAGCAGTCGTAGATAAAAAATATTACTAGAAAATTACCTTCATTGACAACATTCCTGAAATCTTGATAAAAACTTTGCTGCAAGCCTGCTCGCTAAAGGAGGTCAGATGTCATGTGGTATTCCCTCTGCCGTTTTTTTTAGCAATCTGTGTTCTGGCATAGTCACAACATGGTCTCCTCAACCTCACCGTCTACCATTTTTTGCTGTTATCTCTTTTTGGGCGATGTAGCAAAAAGTAACCAAGAAATAGTTCGAAAGGTGTTCATTTTCGTTGTTTCAATGGCGTGTATGATATTTTTTGTTTGTAAGTGTTTGTTTCTTCATATTACATACCGATACTACTACTGCTTTTATGGTTCTTTTTTTTGTTCAGACTTCTTTCAGAGTCGTATTGCTAGTGACGTTTACTGTTAGATATTTCAACCGCATGACCTGATCTATGGTGCAATATAAACCGTTAGTTTATTTTTTACACCTCAACATGATGACCAGTTTTAGGTTGATATAGTATTAATTAGTGAGCCTCAGCCGCAAACGACCTCGGCTTTATCAGGTGAAGCCTTCTGAATAATTAAGCCGAGGTCGCTTGCGGCCAAGGCTCAGTGATCAATACTACATCAATCTGAAACTGGTCATCATGTTGAGGTGTAAAAAGTAAACTAACGGTTTATATTGTACCATAGATCAGGTCATGCGGTTGAAATATCTAAAAGTAAACGTCACTAGCAGTACGACTCTGACGGAAGTCTGAACAAAAAAAAGAACCAGAAAAGCAGTGGTGGTATCGGTACGTAATAGGCACCACAATATGATGACCAGTTTCAGGTTGATACAGTATTAATCATTGAGCCTCCGCCGCAATCAACCTCAGCCTAATTACTCAGAAAACTTTATCCGGTGAAGCTGACGCCGCTTGCGGTTGATGCACCACAATGTGATGATGCAGGTTGTTATAATATTAATTACTAGCGGCCAGCTACCTCGGCTTAATTACTCAGAAAACTTTATCTGGTAACCCCAAGGCCGCTTGCGACTGAGGTACCACAATATCATGACCAGTTGCAGGTTGATATAACCTTAATCACTGAGTCTCGGCTACAAGCGCCCTCAGCTTAATTAGTCAATAAGCTTTGATAAAGCAGAGGTCGCTTGCGACCAAGACGCTACATTGTAATGACCATTTTCTGTTGGATATAACGCCAATCACTGAGCCGAGGCCGCTTACGGCTGAGGTGTGTCGATATAACCAGGTTCAAGCAGATATGTTGTTAATCACAGCCTCGGCCGCAAGCGCCCTCGGCTTAGTTACTCAGAAAACTTTATCCAGTGAAGCTGAGGCTGCTTGCGGCTTAGGTACCACAATATGATGATCAGTTTTAGGTGGTATATAGTATTAATCATTGAGCCTCGGCCGCAAGCGACCTCAGCCTAATTACTCAGAAAACTTTATCGGGTGAAGCTGATGCCGCTTGCGGTTGAGGCACCACAATATGATCATCAGTTGCAGGTTGATATAATATGAATTACTAGCGGCCAGCTACCTCGGCTTAATTACTCAGAAAACTTTATCTGGTAACGCCAAGGCCGCTTGCGGCTGAGGTACCACAATATGATGACCAGTTTCAGGTTGATATTTTCGGCCGCAAGCGACCTCGGCCTAAATACTCAGAAAACTATCAGGTGAAGTTGAGGCCGCTTGCAGTTTAGGCACCACGATATGATGACCAGTTGCAGGATGATATAACCTTAATCACTGAGTCTCGGCTACAAGCGCCCTCAGCTTAATTAGTCAATAAGCTTTGATAAAGCAGAGGTCGCTTGCGACCAAGACGCTACATTGTAATGTCCATTTTCTGGTGTGTATAACGTCAATCACTGAGCCGAGGCCGCTTATGGCTGAGGTGTTGCGATATAACCTGTTATAAATCTGTTAAGATGATTGAGCTCTTAATCTACATAGCAACCTAGTTTATCAGTGGTTCCCAAAACGTTGTTCCTAACTTGTGGGAACCAGGTTCAAGCAGATATGTTGTTAATCATAGTCTCGGCCGCAAGCAACCTCGACTTAGTTACTCAGAAAACTTTATCTGGTAAAGCCGAGGCAGCTTGCGGCTGAGGTACCACAATATGATGTGAAGACCAGTTTCAGGTTGATATAGTATTAATCACTGAGCCTCGGCCGCAAGCGACCTCTGCGTAATTAGTCGGAAGATATCATCTAATAAAGTCGAGGCCGCTTGCGATTGAGGTGCAACAATATGTTCTCTGTTTAATTGCCTCTTTATCAAGAGCTCTTCTTATGAACAATTTTTTTCTTTTAATGAGATTGATAGTTTAAATACTGCACGTTTTGGTATTGCACTTTCTGTAATTGTATCCAGTGGGATACACGTTGTTAGTTGTAAAAATAATCAAAGAAATTATACAGAAGTAGAAGTAACTAATGCGGATTTACGGTGATATAATCAAATAACTTTCCATCTAATAAACAAAAAATTCTGGTTTATACACTTTCGACAGCGCAAAACGTACACGTATATGAATTTCTAATCCTACAACATCAGAGGGAAGTTGTCTAGTTTAACCACGATACATTTGTTGAATATCATTGCAAAATCAAAACTTGATCATTTTATTGCGGTTCATCATTTGAGTCTGGAATCCTGGAATAGAAAGAAGAAGGCAAATATACTACTATAACTAAAAAATAAACTAAAAAGAGTTACCGACCTTAAGACCGAAATTTGACCATATCAGCCTATTATTGCAAATTTCGTTAGAGTCCCATCTTTGTACTATAAATCGAAGTGGCTACCTAACAAAGATAAGCTTGATTACCAAGCTGGAAAGTACTAGCTCTATAAGATTTAGTAAATGGAGTTTCTAAAACTTTTCTTGGTTTACGCATTTCCAAATATAGAAGTTAGAGAAACAATATGCTTCAGGTTAGATGGTGGGGGACCCCAGCTTTGAATACTTTCTCCTCCTGGTTTGGTGTTTTCTTGACATTGTTAACTTTTTGTTAAGGATATAAACATGATTGATGCCGAGGCAAATACAATTATGCTTAAGGCTACTACGTAGAAATGAAAATCAATGAGCTAATAAATACATGCAAAATAAAAGTTATCGAGGAAAAGCAGCATATGCTGTGCTTGTGATCATCCCATTAAGTATTGACCAAACTTCACAAGTTGTATTCGAACAGCCAGCCAACTT